GGCTACATTAGACCTTATATTAAAATAAAACAAAGAAACCTCTAAGCTGTCTTTATAAGGTGTATATGAAGCAAAAGTGTATTTATACTTAGACTTGCATCCCATCTCTTAGGCAACTTACTATATACATGCAAACCCTGAACACTCAGGAGGTCCAGGAATCTGGTCTGGATATCACTTAACACTTAAAAAACAAACAACTAACTCAGTCAGCACTCTCTAGAAGTTTGTTATCTCCAACTACACTCATCTATGCCTATGTCAAGTCTTTCCTCTCACCAGAGACAGTTAACAATGTGTCCATGTCATTTCCTCTTAGACACTCAACCTTCAAGACACAGTGGGCTGGATGATAGGTGGCTCAGAAGGTAAAGGCATTTGTTGCACAAGCCCCAAGACCCAAGTTCAATTCCCAGAGCCACATAAAGTCGGAAAGAGAACTGGCTACAAAGCTGTCTGCTGACTTCCTGTCTACACTCCAAGGAATGCTCCTCCCTCAAGAAAACACAGGGGCTGGAGAGATGGCTCAGCACTTTAGAGCACTTTCTGCTCTCTCAAAGGGCCCAGGCTTGATTCCAAGCACTCACATGGTGGCTTACAACTATCTGTAAACTCCAGATTCAGGGGATCAGATGCCCTCCTCTGACAAGGCATGCGCACGGTACAGTTATATGCACGCAGGCAAAACATGTATGCACATAAAAAAAGCATCTTTGGATGCTTACACCTTACAGTCCAATACTACTCTCTCTTTTTTTTTTTTCTTTATTTTCAAGGTCGGAGAGATGGCTCAGTAGTTAAGAGCACTGGCTGCTCTTCCAGAGGACCTGGGTTCCATCCCTAGCTAACAAGCTTCTCTGTAACTCCAGCTCCAGGATATCCAACGCCCTCTTGTGGTTTCCAAAGGCACTGCACGTATGCAGTACAAAGGCAAAGCACCCATACACATAAAATACTAATTTTTTTTTTATCCAGCCTGGAATGTCGGTGCACACCATCATTCAATTGGCAGAGGCACATGGATCTCTATGAGTTCCAGGCCAGACTGATCTACATAGTGAGTCCTAGACTAGTCAGGCTACATAGTGAGATCCCATCTCAAAACAAACAAACAAACAAACAAACCAAAACAACTTTGATTTAAAAATCTCTCAAGCACTACTATCAACTAATGGTTCACTACCCATTCTGTAAACTGGACTTTGATTAATAGAGTGGCGTCCTTCCGTCTTTACCCTTTATCTCATCAGTCACTTCAAGGCACTTGGTTGACAGCGATGCTTCAGTCTTCACTGCCTTACTATTTCGTTGCCACTTCTTACACAAGTCACTGCCAGGGCCTGGTAAATGGTGTTCCTAAATCTATCCTGGCACACATCTTTGATCCCAGAACTTTGGAGGCAAAGGCAGGGAGATTTCTGTGCCTTAGAGGGTAGCACGGTCTTCGGAGTGAGTCCCAGGACAGCTAAGGCTATGTAGAGCGATCTTGTCCTCTTCTTTGAGATAGTGTTCCTCTGTGTAGCCCTGGCTGTCACGGAACTCGCCTTGTAGACTAGGCAGGCCTCGAACTCACAAGAGACACGCCTTCCTCTGCTGGGACCAAAGGCGTGTGCTCCCAAGGTTTGGCCGAGAGACTGTCTTAAAAAAGGATGCTCAACTAAAACAAACCAAATGCCTGTGAAACTACTGTCATCTTTCGTGTCTATCTCCCCACTGACGTGACTTCTTGCTTCAAGAGTTCTTGTACCCTTTATCCCACGCTCACAGCACATCGCGCGAGTACTGAAGCAAACCCTGACTCTAGTCATTAACACAAAGCCAGGACCTGCTGCGATCCGGTGGGACCGAATCTCGCTTTAGGGTCCATGAAGGAGCTGTTCTCTCTGGGAGGCAGGAGCAGTTAGGAGCGCCCCACACGATTCGAGGCATGTTCGCTCACCACGGTAGGAAAGAAGTTAACAATTCTAACTCCTGTCCTGCCGTCCCTCCCTCGGTGCCATATGCCATTCCCGTCCGCCTCCCGGGGCTCTAGGACGGCCCCGGGCACGCGGCCTCTGCCCCAGCGCACATGCGCAGGACCCACGCTCCATGGAGGCCACCGCCGGCCTCGCCGCTTCTGCCTCCTCCCCACTCACCCGCCGGGCTCGTGCCCTCGCCGTCCCCGATCCACTCGGGTTCGGGCGGCTGCTGCTTGGGACCCTTCGGCATCGCGGCAACAGTTACCAGTCTTTCCGAGGAGCCCGGCGCTGTTTCCGCTTCCGGCGGCGTGGGGCCGCCAATAGGCGGGCTCTTCATTTAGCCCCCGCCCCGCCCCGCCCCGCGGAGGGTCTGGTGCGCAGACGCCTGGGGCTAGGGGGCGTGGCTGGAGACGTCACGGAACTTGTCTGGAGTGGGCAGCGCGTTGTGACGGTCGCCACGCCTGAGGAGCTGATGCTGCGACGCGGTGACACTCACGGGACGACTCGGTAATTTCCAGGTCGGCCCAAGTAGTTGACACATCTTTTATCTGATTGTGTCACCCTACCTGGTGTCTGGAACTCGCTGTGTAGCCTAGGCTGGCCTCCAGCCCAGAGATGCGTTTGCCTTTGGCTCTGGAGTGCTAAGTTTTAAGGCGTGTGCCGCCACATCCTGTCGTGAATCTTTTTGTTGTCGTTGAACCAGGGTCTCACTGTGTAGTCCTTGGCTGGCCTGAAACTCCTAGAATTCCGCCTGCCTCTGCGAGAGCTGGGATTACAGGTCTGCACTATTACACCTGATTGGCCACTTTATTTAAAACAGTACACCTACCTCTTCAATCATTCTCCGCTACTTTTTTTTTTTTTTTGCTGTTATCTCTCTCTTTTAAGATTTATTTATTTTATATATGTGAGTATACTGTAACTGTCTTCAGACACACCAGAAGAGGGCATCGAATCCCATTACAGAGGGTTGTGAGCCACCACGTGGTTGCTGGGAATTGAACTCAGGACTTCTAGAAGAGCAGTCGATGCTCTTAACTGCTGAGTCATCTCTCCAGCCCTCTCCACTACTTTCTAATCCTCTTCTCATACTACATACTGTAAACTGTAGTTAAAGACACCACAGCTGTCGATTTAGGAAAAAGTAACCTTACTGGCCCTTGGTTGACATGTCACTAAATACCCAGGTGTACAGATATAACCAACAACTCCACTCCAACAACTGGAAGCTATTGTGCAGTGGAACCTGGAGATTTTTGGGTGTGGATGTGTGATAATTTTGCTTTTAATTGACCTACTGTTAATTAAACATAAAACAGCAAGCAGTGAGCAGTTACGTTTTGACAAGCATGCTTTTTTTTTTTTTTTGAGGGGGGAGGCATTTTGAGACAGGGTTTCTCTGGGTAGCCCTGGCTGTCTTGGAAATCATTCTGTAGACCAGGCTGGCCATCTACCTGACTGCCTCCCAAGAAGCATATACCTTTTAAACCACAATCAAGAGATGGCTGGCTTTTAACTCTAATGAATGACAGGCATAGGAGTTTGGATGAGGCGTTTCTACAACCGGGTCAGCTCCTACCCTCAGTCATGCTATTCTTTTCCTTAGGTAGTGCAGTCTTGCCTCAAGTCCTCTAAATGGCCGAAGATGACACTGAATTTCCCATTTCTTGTCTCCCTCCCAAGTTTTGAGATTACACGCCTGTGTTTATGTGCCTGGTTTGTTTATATGGTCCAAGAATGGAACCAAAGGCACGTACTAGGCAGATGTCCTAACCACTGAGCTACATTCCCAGCTCCCATGATGCTTCTGTCCCTACTCATTTTCCAGGATTGACAGATCAGAAGCCATGTCCTAGCACATCTGACATAGGTGATCAATTTTCCATTTCTCCATATACTTCCTCTGTTGCTGGTGCCTCTGCCCTTGGGGTCCTGATGTTGCTATACCTCCAAGCTCAATCTTTTGAGTCTTCAAAAAAAAAATTACTTTTACATATTTGCTTGCTTATGTGTACTTACTGGCATGTGCCTGGTGCCCCAAGAGAGCAAAAGAGGGTGCCAGATCCCCAAGAATTTGAGTTACGGGCAGCTGTAAACTGCTGCATCAAACTCAGGTTCTCTTCAATAGCAGATGCTTTTGTTTGTTTTTTTTTAAGATCCATTTATTTATTTTATGTGAGTACACTGTATCTGTCTTCAGACACAACAGAAGAGGGCATCAAATCCCATTACAGATGGTTGTGAGCCACCATGTGGTTGCTGGGAAATTGAACTCAGGACTTCTGGAAGAGCAGTCAGTGCTCTTAACCCTGAGCCATCTCTCCAGCCTGAGCAGATGCTTTTAACAGCAGAGCTTTCTCTGGCCCCAAAGGCTCGTCTCCAACTTCACTACTCAAGCCTATGTTTATCTGTGCTGTTTTAGAAAATCTCCATTTCTGGGGGTGGAGACATGGCTCAGTGTATAGAGCACATGTTGCTCTTATAGAGAACCCAGGTTCAATTCTCAGCACCCACAAGGTAGCTCACAACACGTATCCCTAATCCCAGGGATTCTGATGCATTCTTCTGACCTCCATGGGTAGCAGGCACACATGGTATACATACATACAGGGGGGCAAAATATTCATAAACACAAAATAGGAAATAAATCTAAAAAATGTTTTTCTAGGTTTGTTCCCCAGCCTGAGTAGACAGGCATGTCCAACCTTTTAACAGTGAGACAGTCATTACAAAGTCTGATTATCATCATCTACAGAGTTCATGTGAATTATATTTCAAACAAACAAATCCCAACACGAAGGGAGTCTAAGGCCTCCAGGCTTTGTTCTCAGGCACTGCTGAGACTCCTCCACCCACTCTTCCTCCTGTGCATCCTTCAGACCTCAGCCCCGTGCCCACCTGATCTGTTTTCCCCACCACAACCCTTTCCAGAGTGTAACTTTTGCTTCTGATGAACTAAGGCAATGAATGGACTCCCTAGCAGCCTCAGAGAGGGTTCCCTTGGACCTGCAGAGAAGACTGGAACAGAGAAATGAGAGAAAATACCGGTTTCCACTGTTTATTACTAATATAAAAAAAAGTTAGAAAGAAAAAAAAAATCCTTCTTAGTTCTCCAACAGCTCTCTCCTCTTGCACACACACCTCCTTAGGGCCTGTTCACAACCCAATGTGTTCACTGCCGTTTTCACAGAAAACACCCAGTGCCAGGGAAGCAGGAGAGGGTCAGAGAGATGACAGTACTGTCCAGATTTCATCCAGAGACAGCTGGAGATTCACAAGTCAAAACAAAGGGCCGGTGGCCTCACAATGACACAGCCTGATTAAAACGTGCCAGGCAGGAGCCGTGTGGGGAGTCCCACCTGAGGCTTTCCAAGATATCACTGGCCTGTCAGACCCAGAATACCCACACCAGGAGAGGGCACAATTGGGAGGCAGTCTGAAGAAGTCTCATGACCTCCTGCGTTGGGAGGTAGGTGAACTCTAGAGGGCACCGAGAGCCTCACTTGATTTGGCAGAAAAACTTACTCTAGTGTTGGGAAGTCACAAAAAAACGCCACAGACACCGAGGAAGGCTACAAAGGGTGTACAGTTTCACAAAGCACAGTGACCACAGGCCTTAGCGGTGGGGCTCATGCTACGGACAGAAACTAGGACGTCCAAAAGCAGGTGGAAGCTGTTCAGGGAGCAAGTCTGTACCAGTCACTCAAACTCAACCTCAAGGCCAGACAACCTGGTGCACTTCCTGGCAGCTGCAAACACTGGGGTTTTACGTGAAAGGACTTAAAACAAGCAGCTAGAGGAGCAGAGACTGCTCCAGGGTTCTTGGGAACTTAGGGCAATACTGAGGGGCAGGTGGACAGATGCACAAGATCCAGCACCAAAGGTTTCCTGTTGAGCAGTCACTTGGCAGAGGGGACGATCCAGGAGGCAGTGGAAGGTAGCAAGATGGGGTCCCGAAGGTCTCTACAGCCTGGATCAGAAGACAGTGTGCACTGTGCACCAGTGACAGTCACAGCTCTGGACCCCAAATGGGAGAGATGAAAGGGGCGGACTTGTCACTGCCTGAAGGTGACAGAAGAGCCTTCAAGTAGCTATAATGGAGCCACAGAAAATGCATGGCCACTAGGTCAGAGGGCTCTTTCCAGCCTGGGTGGGAAGGCACAGTCTCACAGAGGAGGTCCGTTGACGCCTGGATGGTAGAAGGCACAATGGTCTTCATATCGACAGTGGCCCTTCTTAGAAAAGTGTCGGCAGACAGGGCGGTCAGACTTGTCTGTGAATTATGAAAAACAGCAGCTTAAAACCTTAAGAGCTGGGTGAGGTGGCTGACACCTGTGGTCCCAGCATTCAGATGGCCAAGACAAAAGATTGCCACAAGTTTGAGGTCAACTTGTCTACCCAGCCCAAATCAAACACAACTCTTTCTTCCTGACAACCTCCCCCCAACACCCCATCCTAAGAAAGAAAATGTAATAGAATGCAAAGAGAAAGCCAAGATTTCTACCATACACTCATTATAAGTATTTTGGCTTTTTCTTTCTATTTTTGGTGCTAGTGATAAAACACAGGGCCTCAGGCATGACACACACCTTGCTCAATCACTGAGCAAGACTCCCAGACCACCAAGTAGTTTGGAAAGACAGTCTTTCTGAAGGAAGAAAAGTGTTCAGGGCTATTTGTACCTCTTAAGGCAGCAAAGAACCTGGTAGTTGAGTGCTAGGACTCCTCAACACGGATAAGGCCCTGCATTAATTCTCAGTGCTGCTCAGTGAGAGCCCAAAGGAGTAGATTTCCCAGGCCTGTTAGCACACAGGCCATGGCAGACACAATAAGGTGGGCCTTACCTTCCATCATCTGGGGACTGTCCTTAGGTGGGTAGGTATTCTTGACAAGAGACCAGCTTTTGAGCCTTCGTGGATTTCTTGGCTCTCTGTAAAAGCTTTCCCTAGAGGGACCCCCATGGCCCAGCCCAGGAAAAGGAGGTTCAGTATTGATACCCCACCAACCACGACCATATGGGCTAGATCGAGGGCCAAGGCCTCCCCGAATGTGGCCTCTACCCCGGGGTGGAGGTGGGAGACTCAGCAGTGGTAGAATCATTGGTCCCCTTGATCCTGGAGGACCCCTGTGGAAAGCTAGAGAGAAAGACAGGGAGGTGACTGCTGAGCAGCTTAGTCCTGACAAAAGCCCTCCCCTGCTGACTACAGCAAAGCACTCTGACACACCAGTTTTAAGTACACAAATCAGCTATCATGTCTTCTCCTGGGTTTCCATTGCCCATGCAAACAAAGATATGCTTTCTTAGCTCTTTTTAGCTCCTGGTGTGGGGAACTGAACCTAGAACCCTGTGTATGCTAGGCAACTGACTACTCTTACTACTGAGATAAATTCTCAGCCTCAAAAAAAGTCATCCATCTATACGCCCTTTTCCTCCTCCGGAAGGTTGCCACCACCCCTACCATGACAGGTTGTAGATCTGCCTGATTCTGAACTCTGGGCTCTTCCGTTAATCATGAGAGTCAAGTTGTCTGGGTAGGTAGTTGTTGTTGTTTTTAAAAAAGTACAGCATCCTATTACAGGGACTTATGTGCTCTACTGATGTTGGACATGTGGGTATTAACTGTGCGGCTGTAATGAACAATGTTACAAACATTTCTATGTGTAGTATCAGTTTCTGTTCAGACTACATGTGGCAGAGGAACTGCTCAGTGATAGCGTATTCAATTTTAATCTTATTAAACATAGTTTCAGAGTGGTGTATTAACTTACACACTCCTCTCAGAGGTGGCTCTACAGCTTCCAAGCATTGGAAAGGTCAGCCTTTCTCATTTGGTTGATTTGTTGTGTGAGAAACAAAAATATGTATGTATGCTCACCCATCATCACGTGTGTGTCTGGTTCCTGCAGGCCAAAAATGGGTGCTGGAACTAGACTTGTGAGCTGCCTACTTCCGCTAGACCAACCATGTGCTGCTAAATATGAACCTCAGGCTCTAACAGCAATCTCTTTAGACTGAAGAAATAGATTCTAAAATTTTAGATCTTATTTGTGTGTGTTGAGGATATGTGCACAGATATCATGCTGCTTGTGTGACAGAGAGACAACTTGTGGAACTTGGTTCCTGTACTACTTGGGGCCCAAGGATCAGAGTCAGACTGTCAGGCTTGGTGGCAAGCACTTTTACCTGCAGAACCATCTTGTCAGCCTGACTCACCTCAACTATTAAATATATGGTTCAATTCTGTAAGTTCATCTGTTGGGAAACAGAATCCCAGAACCCCGAGACCAAAACAGAAACCTTTAACCAAGTCCTTTCCTTCCATCTCCTACAGACCTGTAACCCACATTCTAATTGTTTCTCTGAGTCTGACTTCAGATAGCTTGTGTGTTCCTTTCAGGTTCACCCAACCTGCTGCACTAACAGCACTCTCTTCCTTCTTCACAACAGTATTCCACTGAATGCATTTTTTTTTTTTTTTTAGCTTGATGGCAGCCTGGACTACATAACAACTGTCTTTTTAAAAAAAAAAAAAAAAAAAAAGACAAGCATGGTGGTGGCTGACTTTAATCCAAGAAGTTGGGTTGGGGGAAGGGGGGAGGAGCAGAGGCAGGCAGAGTCTCTCTGCATTCAAATCTGGTCTGTATAGAGAGTTCCAAACAGTCAAGGCTACACAGTGAGACCCCGTTGCAAGCAAATAAATAAATAAATAAATAAATAACAAAACAAAACCCAACAAACAAAAACTCAAATCTCCAAAGACTGTGCTTTCAATTCTTATACATATAAGCCCAGAAGTGGAACTGTACTTACTTTCTTAAATAGAGTCTCTATGTAGCCCATGCTAGCCTTGTAACACTACAATTACCCTGCCTAACCCTTCAAAATTGTAGACATATGCTACCTACCATGCTTGGCCTATTTTTAGTTTTCTAACAAAGCTTCATACTATATATAGTAGTTACATGGTTCCATGTCTATTTAGTTAGTAGTGTTATCTGATTAATACAAATCTGTGGTATTTGATGTAGCTCATTTATAAATACGTCCTTCATGATTAACATACATGTGCGTGATTTCTTTGTCTGTGTGTATTATATGTGCATATCCACAAGAGACAGAGCTGACGTTCTCACTGAACCTGGAACGTTCGATTCAGCTATACTTGCTGGTCAGCAAGCCCTGGAGTCTGTCTACCTCTGCCTTATCATCACCGTGGGGCCCAGGCTTTTTTTTTTTTTTTTTAAACATGGTTGCTAACATCTGAAGTAAGTACTTTATCAATAGGAACACCTCTCATAATACCACTCTTCCCACTCTTCCCCTTCTTCCTCCCCCTCCTCTTTTTAGTTTTACTTTTAGAGACAGTGTCATTTATTTATTTATTTATTTATTTATTTATTTATGTGTAGCCCTGGCTGTCCTGGAACTCACTCTGTACACCAGGCTGGCCTTGAACTCAGAAATCCGCCTGCCTCTGCCTCCCAAGTGCTGGGATTAAAGGTATGCACCACCACTGCCCGGCTAGAGACAGTGTCTTACAGAGGCCAGGCTAACACAGAACTCTTAGCTTTCCTGCTGCCACTATGCCTGGCCTGCCTGTTGTTTACAAACTCTTACCTACTCTAAGACCACGAGGCACAGTTACTTTTCACAAGAATATTTATTTTACAGCCTGCTTAGAATTGATGTTTTTATTCGGTATGACTATAACAAAGTCAAAGTTCCTATCTTTACACAAAAAAAAAAGTCCAATTGAGACAATGTTGCTTACTGACAGAATCACTTCTTTGAGTTCATCTTTACACAGAATTCTGTGTTCATATATCTACAGGCCTGATTCCACTCGGACAGGGTCTCATGTAGCCCAGACTAGCTGGTCTCAAATTTGCTTATATAGGAGAGGCTGGCCAAGGACTCCTGATCCTTCCACCAGTGTCTCAAGTATTAAAACGTATGCTGATATCCTGTGAAAACTACAATGTCATAGCTACTTCAGCTTTTCAGCAAATCTTGCTATGCCCTCCCGATTTGGTCTCAGTAGTGTCCCATTTAGAGCCGCTATAATGGAGAATGTTTACTTCTACACACACAAAAGAGAGATAGGCCTAGGAGTTAATCTGGAAGGAAAGTAACATTTTGACACCATGTTTCCAAACCGTACACAATCCCTGGACTTTTGTTCTAAAAGTCTTTGATTTTCCTCTGTCCCTTCTCCAGGGCTTAAAACACGAACCAGGGCCCAATTTCTTCTCCTCACCTGACTTGGGATCACCAGGCTTTCCATTAGCCATGGGGGGAGGGCCCAGAAGGCTGGGTGGTCCTAAGAGCAGACGTGAAAACACGGTCATCGGAACGGTGCGAAGGACTGATCACCTCCTCGTTCTAACGTGGTCTTTAACACTCAGTTTTTAACCAGTAAAGTCATATATCCACTTAGCAGTGCCGCAAGCTCTCACCCCGTCCATCTGCCCGTCCCTCTGCAGAGTTGTTTGAGATTCCATCAGAGGGTAACAGAGGTCTCTAACAGCTCTTTCCTCAACAGTGCTGCATCCACAACATGCCCAGTGATCCCACATACCCCAGTCCCTCACCTTAACTGTTGGCCCATCATAGTTTTTTTCTCCTCTCCTTCCCAAGGGGGAGTAGTTCACAGAAGGCTGCACTCTGACCTAACCAGTGGAAGTGTGGTCACAAATTGTCTTCCTGGTCATCACAATCTGTAATATCGCTGCCGCCCCTCTCCCCCGCCATGCTGCGGTTGCGCAAGCCAGACGTTTAGCCGCCACTTCCCCTGCCTTCTCCAGAAAGGATTAGGAGCCAGACTGAGGTTGAGGGGTTCAAGCAAGCGAAGCCCTCAACCCGGATCTTACCAGCAGCCCTCCCCCACCCCCGCCCCACCCCACCTCCACGCGTGCGCCCTTCCTCCTTCCGTTGGAGCCTCCTCCCCCGCACTTCATTCTCGCCTAGCCCCCGGCCCGCTGACAGGCGTGCGCACGCCCTGCCCCTCACCCATGGGGCGCTCATCCTCCTCGTCTCCAGGCTCGTCCCGCTCGGACATTGAGAGATGCTGCGGCGGCTGCTGCTGGTCCTGCGTCTTTCGTTTCGGCATAGCGGCTGCGGCAATGGCTGCAGCAGGATTTTGGAGGGCAGTGAGGAAGGGGCACACTAACTTTCCTTCCGCTTCCGGGTGGGCGGGGGGCCGGGTGACCGAGGCTCCCGCCAATGCCACTTCCGGGAGGCCGCGGACCGGCTGCGGCAGTTCGCTCCTACAAGTTGCCACGCTCACTCTGCCGCGCGTGGGGGAGCTCTGCTCCCCTGGTGCAGTTCCATCCCACGTGGAAAAGCATCACCGCATTGCGGTGAGACACTGGACAGGCTTCGGGCCTCGGGCGGCACGCGAGAGGCCTGTCGCATCCTAAGATCGCCACATCCGGTCCCCCCCAGTTACCATGGCAACGCCTACAGCCACAACTCCGTGCTGACCTCTCTCCAAAAGTCCTTGTCCCGCTCGCTTTTTCTCCTCACCCGCGCTCGCACGTGTGGCCTGTGAGCCTGCCTCCTCGGCATCCTCCTTACCGAGTCCGATCGCCGCCCACGGAGCAGCCAGCGCAGCCGCGCAGCTTCGGCTCCCCCGCCTGGGGCCGTCCCCCCCTTGGCGGCCGCGCGGTGGGGCGTGTCCTCGCCCCCTCGCCCGGCCCCCGCCAGGTGAGTGGCAGCTCCCGGGAGCGCCGGGCGGCGGTGACACGCGTCCCCCCTCCCGCGGCTGCCACTTGGTAGAGCCCGTGACGGAGTCGGGCCGGGCCTCCCACGCGCGCCTCCCGCTCGCCGCACCGTGCATCCCGGAGCCGCCGGCTCTCACGTGCCGCTCGCATCCCCGCCGCCCCGCTCCCCGCCGCCCGCCGCTGACGTCACCGCGGCCCCGCCTCCCCAGGGCCCCGGGCCGCCGGCGGGGGCTGCCCGGGGGAGTCAGTTGCGGCGGCGGGGAGCTCGGCGGAGGGCGGTCCGGGGCGCCGGGGCCATGCCGAGGAAGAAGCCCTTCAGCGTGAAGCAGAAGAAGAAGCAGCTGCAGGACAAGCGGGAGCGGAAGCGAGGTCAGGGAGGGGGCGGGGCCGCTGCGCAGCTCCTGGAGGAGGGCTGTGCCGCCGCACCGCGGGCGGGGGTGGGTGGGTGGGCTCTCGCGGTCGGTCCCGCGTGGGCTGCCACGGTGGGGTCTTCCCGCAGCGGCGGGACTGGGGGTGGAGGGTGGGGGATGGGAAACCCCGCTGCTGTTGCTGCTGCTGCTGCTGCGGCTCCGGGGCGCTGTGACGACCTCCAGGCCCATCCGGGAGGGGACTGATTGGGGCGCGCGGTTGGGAGGATCGAGCCTCCGGAGAAGTTGGGACGGCCGAGGAAGAGCGTGTCCTGCCGGCTCGGGGGTCTTTAGGTACCCTAAGAACCGGTCAACACCGGCGTCACCGGCCCCTCCCCTCAGGGCTCCAAGATGGGCTTCGCTCCAGTTCCAACAGCCGCAGCGGGAGCCGGGAGCGGCGGGAGGAGCAGACCGACACGTCGGATGGGGAATCCGTGACCCATCACATCCGCAGGCTCAACCAGCAACCTTCGCAGGGCCTGGGGCCCAGAGGCTACGACCCCAACCGGTGAGCCAAGGAGAAGGGCGCTGGCCGCGTTTCCCCGCCCTCACCCTTTAGGGAAAGCTTCTGATGAAGGCTTGAAAGTGGAGCTAGTGAGGCTGGAAACCGAGGTGGTTCTTCCAGGCTCGGCCACGATGTTGCCTTCCTAAGGGGCTGTCAAGAGTTTGTTTAGAGGAGACCCAAATAACCAGGAGAGGAAGCTTTGCAAAGTTTTCCGGTCAGAAGAGGAGATCGAAGAGGAGATTGTCACAGGACTCCACTAGGTGTGTGATCCCTCTTCCCTTAGATACCGGCTGCATTTTGAACGGGACAGCCGGGAGGAGGTGGAGAGGAGAAAGAGAGCCGCCAGAGAGCAAGTGTTGCAGCCGGTCAATGCTGAAATGCTGGAGTTGGATATCCGGGAGGTGTATCAGCCTGGCTCAGGTGATTGAGGGCTACTGGTGTTTGCAGTCAGCTTGGGGACCTAGCCGGCCAAGAGGAGAGGAGGGGTCCAAAAAAGTCCTCATGCCTGTCCGGTCTTTTTCCTCATTTCCCAGTCCTGGACTTTCCCCGGCGGCCTCCTTGGAGCTATGAGATGTCCAAGGAACAACTAATGACCCAAGAGGAGCGGAGCTTCCAGGAGTACCTCGGGAAGATACACGGGGCATACGCGTCGGAGAAACTCAGCTACTTTGAGCACAATCTGGAGGTGATTGACGGCGGCGGCGTGTTGACCGGAGTCGACATACTGCTGTGTGATCTTAGTGTTCTGGTTCAGGCAGCAGCAGGACTGAAGACAGTCTCTCTTCTGGTCTTTTCAGACATGGAGGCAGCTGTGGCGGGTGTTAGAGATGTCTGACATTGTCTTGCTCATTACTGACATCCGACATCCGGTGAGGACTCCGAAAGGTTTGCAAGGGGGAAGGGGGAGATTCTAGTATGAGACTATTCAAAGACGGGAAGCGGAAGACAGATCTTTTTAAATTTTTTGGTGGGTATGTGAGAAAGGCCCTGATTTGTAGGTGCTCGCTATTCCACTTGTAGAATGTATGCTTGGAATTGGGAAGCCACAGAGGTCAACCTTGGATGTGTTCCTCAGGCGATAGCACCTTGTATTGTGGGGATGGGATATCTTACTCATCACATAGCCCCAGGGAATTTTCCTATCATCTTCCTGGTGCTGGGGTTATGATGGCTTTCTTCTTTTTACACCTCCTGCTAAAGTCAGAAACTCACTTGATTTTTCCTTTTGTTTTGCTCTGCTCTGCCAAGGATGAAGCCCTGGGCCTGCATCTTGCATGTACTAGGCCTGACATTTTACCACTGAGCTGCACCCCCAGCCTGAGGAGCTGAGCATTTTACTCACCTCTGATCCTAGCCTGCCACTCCCCTTTTGGCCAGCTGACCCTGTTTCCCATCCTACCAGAGCTAGACCAGTAGAAAGTCCCAGTACAGAGCTCCAGGGAGTTCTGAGTCAACTGGGAGCTTCTTGGGCCCAGCCCAAAGGTGCCTTCCTTTCGTCTGTCACCTCTATAGTGCCACATGATCAACACAGACCCCCTCCTGGGACACTAGGTTAGTGGGTGAGGTTTGGAGACTGCTGCTGGACAGCTCTGTGAATCCTGGCCTCCTGACTGCACTTGTCTTCCAGTGGAGAAAGGGAGGTCTGTGGGGGACATTTAGGTTGGGGAGCCTCAATGAACGTGGCCATACAGGAACAAGTGTTCATGTGCATGTTTCTGTGCACCGTCACACACATACGACCATCACAGTCATACACACTTAACTCAGATATGTCCACACACGTGCTCTTGTGCATGCAGCTGTGCATGTGCATACACTTACGTGGTGACGTGCACATAGAGCAGGTGTTACTTGTTACCCAGTCCCCATTCCTGCTCCTGACTGTCGTCACCTCAGTGTGCTAGGTATTGTCATACTTCCCATTCATTTCTCTCATCGTGACCTGCAGGAAACTCCCTGAGACATGCCCAGGTTATTTCTAACACCTGCCTTTGCCTTCCCTGTTCGATGTGTCCGGGTTACCATTTTCACCACAGAATCTACTTCAGCCAGAGCTGTGCCTGGTGACAGGGATCTGGGGTCAGCAAACTCTGGGCGGGCTTCTTGTCACTCCATCCTCTTACAATTCTGTCACAGGTTGTGAACTTCCCACCAGCACTTTACGAGTATGTAACTGGAGAACTTGGGCTGGCCCTGGTGCTGGTCTTGAACAAGGTGGACCTGGCCCCACCAGCTCTTGTGGTCGCCTGGAAGCATTATTTCCACCAGCGCTACCCCCAGCTCCACATCGTCCTGTTCACCTCCTTCCCTCGGGACACGCGAACCCCGCAGGAGCCTGGTAGTGTCTTGAAGAAGAATCGGAGACGGGGGAGAGGATGGACTCGGGCACTGGGGCCAGAGCAGTTGCTGAAAGCCTGTGAAGCCATCACTATGGGAAAAGGTATGTAAAGTTGTAGAGTAAGGCGCCCCCTGTTGGTGAGAGGGAGAGAGGCGGGAGTGGGCAGGGGCCTCTGTGATCTGATGTCCTGAGTTGTCTTAGATGCTCTGATGGAGAGACTTCTACGACTCCAGAGTGGGGTCCTGTGAAGGCTGGGGGAAACGCTGGTCTGCCCCCGTACACATTGGCACTCCGCGACTCTTGGCGTGCTGGTGACATCAGCTGTATGCTAATGATCCACAGTGGCCTGGGGATGACGGAAACCCCCTCTGTCTTCTTCTTCAACAGTGGACTTGAGCAGCTGGCGCGAGAAGATTGCTAGGGACATGGCCGGGGCGTCCTGGGGTAATGTCTCTGGTGAGGAAGAGGAGGAGGAAGACGGGCCAGCAGTACTGGTAGAGCAGCAGACTGACTCAGCCATGGAGCCCACGGGCCCCTCCAGAGAGCGCTACAAGGATGGGGTGGTGACCATCGGCTGTGTAGGTAAGGACTCAGCGGCCGCCATAGTGGCCTCCTTAGGCTCTGTGATTTCATTGTTTGTAGAGGAGGGAGCTAGGCCTGTCTGGGTTTAGGTTCTTCAAAGAACAGCCTTTGTCGTGGTCCTGGGGGAGCAGAGGAAGGTGCCTACTGTAGTGCAGCTAAGTTCTGTCTCTTGTTGGCTGTGTCATTGCAAGCAAGTCCTTGAACTGTTGAGTCACTTGAGAATGCGCAGTTCAAAGATGGAGGTGAGCGATGGCCTGCTGAGCCTCACTGTGCCTGGCAGGTTGTGATAGCTATGACAACAGGACAACAGCGACTGTTGTTATATTTCCTGGTGCTCTGAGTGACCCATAGATACAGATACTCACTTTTCAGTTGTGGATACTGGTTCCTAGTACAGGGGTCCTTAAGTCTCAGCAGGAGAGCAGCACATGTCTGCTCCCTCTGGGTTGGGGCCCTTTTCAGTGTGGTCAGTATGACTGAATGGTCTCCCTGGTTAAGAACGTGTCACAAGCTCAGTGTGGTGGTCCTCACCTTCAGTCCCAGTCCCTGGAGGCAGAGGCAGGCAAATCTCTGTGAGTTGAAGGTTAGCACAGCCTACATTGGACAAGGAGACCCTGTCTCTAGAAGGAAAAGAGCTTTGTTCAGCTCCAGTAGAGTGGCAGTTCTCACCCGGTGGGTCACCACCCCTTTAGAGGTCGAATGACCTTCCCCAGGGGTCACATGACATTTTACATTAGGGGCTTACATGACAGTTACATTGCGTCACAGCAGCAAAACTACATTTGCACAGTAGCAACAAAAGTAACTGTATGCTGGGGGTCACTGCAGCGTGAATGTGAGGAAGGCTGAGGACCCCGACCACTGCAGTCCAGAGAGACTGTGAGACAGGTCGAAGGCTCTTCCTCACTTTGGGTGCAAGAGGTGAGAAGAGAGCTGGGTAATTAATATCTTAGATATTTGTGGACTTATATTTTTTTAGGTTTTTTCTCTCTATGTGTTTTAATGTTTTGCCTGCATATATGTAAGTGTCTGGTTCCTGCAGAGGGCAGTGGATCCCCTAACGTTGGGGTG